CACCTAGGGATTATTTAAGTTGTCAAACTGCTATGCAAACTCCTTGAGTCAGGGACCAGCTACTCCTTTTTTATTTTGAGATGGAGTTTCGCTCTTGTGACCCAGGCTGGAGTGCAATGGCGCGATCTTGGCTCACCGCAACCTCCGCCTCCTGGGTTCAGGCAATTCTCCTGCCTCAGCCTCCCGAGTAGCTGGGATTACAGGGACATGCCACCATGCCCAGCTAATTTTTTGTATTTTTAGTAGAGACAGGGTCTCACCATGCTGACCAAGATGGTCTCAATCTCTTGACCTCATGATCCACCCGCCTTGGCCTCCCAAAGTGCTGGGATTATAGGCTTGAGCCACCGCGCCCGGCCTACTCCTTATATTCAAGGTTTCTGGATCCAAATTAGTTCTTTAAGTGTTGCAGGTTTTTAACAAACATTGATTGAATAAATAATTGGATCATATGAGGTTGGCACTGCTTAGAAAAGATATCTTTGACCAAGTTTATGAAAACACATGCATGAAGGACTTCTCTCTCTTTTCTTTGGTCTTGTGCTGGCTGACTTGGAGTCATGCCTCCAGCATGACTGCCACATTTGATGCAAAACATGAACAGACTCAAGTACAGGTGAGAGTGACAGTGATGGGGGAGACACCTGGAAATGCTGGGAAACAACTGGACATGTTTATCTTAGGGAAAATACAAGGACAATCAGGTAGCTGGCTGCATCATATCTTTGAAGGGCTGGCTTATGACAAAGTAGACTGTTTTTTGTTGATTTTAAGGGGAAAACTAGGTCCAATTGGAGAGTGTATGTGGAACTCTTCAACAGTGGAAATGGCTGGGGCCTAGGATCGTCAATTCCCAGATGCTGGTGTGACTCAGATGTTCTATCACCACTAACTAGGAGGGATGTTTTGGACAGGAAGGAGTAGGGCAGTGGTTCCCAAACCTTGCTAGTCCTCAGTATCACCTGGGGACTTATTAAAAATTCACATTCTGGCTGGTTGGCTCATGCCTATAATTCCAGCTCTTTGGGAGGTTGAAGTGGGAGAATTGTGGAAGCCCAGGAGTTCAAGACCAGCCTGGGCAACACAGTGAGACCTTGTCTCTATACATTAAAAAAAAAAAAATGTGCTGGGCATGGTGCTGTGTGCCTGTATTCCAAGCTACTCAGAGGGGCTGTAATGAGAGGCTCACTTGAGCCTGGGAGGCTGAGGCTGCAGTGAGCTGAGATCATGCCATTACACTCCAGCCTGGGTGACAGAGCGAGATTCTGTCTCAAAACAACAACAAAAATAGCCATTCCCACCTCACCCTGCCTCCCTGGAGACTCAAAGTCAGCCTGGGGGTGGAGATTAGGGATCTGCATCTAAAACATTCAGCCAGGTCCAGGAGCCACTGGACTAGAGGTTCACCCTTCAACCTGGATAAGCTGGGCATGCATGTCAACACACTACTTTTAAATCGGTGGCCTCTTTAAACATCCTTTTTGGGTGAAGTGGAAGAGAGTATTTTCTTTGCTTATATCACTTGGCAAATTAGACTTTAGAAGGCTTGAGAACTAGTCTAGTGAGGCCAAGAGGCCTCTGCTTTTATTCTTGAAATTTTTTTTCTTTTTATAAAAGGGATCCATGGACAGTTTCTCAAAATGTTAAACATAATTACCATATGGCCTAGCAATTCCACCCCTATATTTAAGAGAAATGAAAACGTAAGTCCACATAAAGACCTGTATATTAATGTTGATGGCAGCTTCATTCATAATGTCCAAAAAGTAGAAACAACCTAAATGTTCATCAACTGATGAATAGATAAACTGTGGTATATCCATATCATGGGATATTATTTGGCAATAAAAAGGAATAAACTACATATGCGCTACATGTATGAACGTTGAACATACGCTAAAGTGAAAGAGGCCAGTTGCAAAAGACCACATGTTATATGAATCCATTTACATGAAATGTCCAGATGAGGCAAGAACATAGAAAACATGGACTGTAGTTACGTAGGGGTGGGTGAGGGAAAAGGAAGGTGACTTCTAATAGGTACAGGATATTTGTGTGGGGGTGATGAAAGTGGTCTAAACTTAGATGGTAATGATGGTTGTACAACTCTGAATATATTATAAGCCACTGAATTGCTGGCTTTAAATAGGTGAATTTTAAGATATTTAAATTATATATCACTAAAGATGTTGAAAAAAGTGACACGTGGTCATTAAAGATAATTTAGAAAATACAGGTAAAGAAAAGAAAGAAAAATATACTCCAACTTTCAGCATCACTGGAAGACAGCTGCATAACATCTTAGGATAATCCTTCCTGTGTATATTCTGTCTATATTTGCATATTTTTACAAAAATGGGATCATGCTCTTCATACTGTTATGCATTTTTGTATGTAACTACATTCTGAAAATGTTTCTGTTATTAGGCTTTTACATCACCATTTTTAATGGCCATAGAGTACTTCAATATATGAACAATTTTAATTCATTTAATTTGTTTTCCACTGGTGGGTTTTTGCTGACTTCAGTTCTCTTGGTCTTGTAAACCATGAATATTTTTTAGGACTATCATTGTAATTCATGTCACTTTTGATTCAAGGTCTTTACTTTTTTAAAAAAATAAACTTTATATTTTAGAGTAGTTTTAGGTTCATAGCAAAACTGAACTGAACCCACAGAGAGTTCCCAGACGTCCCATTCCCACTACAGCCTCCCCCAGCTATCAACATCCCACACTACAGGGTACATGTGTGACACTCCAGGAAGCTACACTGGCATATCATAATGATTACATTAGAGTTCACTCTTGGTGTTGTACATTCTATGGGTTATGACGAATGTACAGTGACATGTATCTACTCTTATAGTATCATACAGAATAGTTCTGTTGTCCTAAATAATCCTCTGTGCTCTGCCTATTCATCCTTCCCTACCCTCAACCCCTGAAAACTACTGATCTCATTTTCTCCATAATTTTGCCTTTACCAGAATGTTGTATAGTTGGAATCATACTGTATGTACCTTTTCCTATTGGCTTCTTTCATTTAGTAATACGGGTTTAAGGCTCCTCCATGTCTTGATAGCCATTTCTTTTTAGTGGTGGATAATATTTCATTGTATGGTTCTACTGCTGCTTCTCTATCAGTTACTGAAGGGCATCATCACTGCTTCCAAGGTTTAGCAATTATGAATAAAGCTGCTATATACAGCCATGTCTATGTAGGCTTCTGTGTGGACAAAAGTTTTCAGCTTATTTGGGTAAATACCGACAAGTGTGATTGCTGGATCATACTGTAGAGATGTCTAGTTTTGTAAGAAACTGCCAAACTGTCTTCTGTAGTGGCCGTGCCATTTTCCGTCCCCACCAGCAGTGAATGTGAGTTGCTGTTATTCCACAACCTCACTGGCCTTAGGTGTTGTCAGTGTTTTGGATCTTGGCCAATCTAACGTGGGTGTCATGGCTCTTGTTTTGTTTGCATGTCCCTAATGACATATGATGTTGAGCATCTTTTCATATGCTTATTATTTGCTACCTGTGTCTCTTCTTCGGTGAGTTATTCGTTCAGATCTTTTGCCCATTTTTAAATTGGGTTGTTTCTTTGCTTATTGTTTTGCCTTATTAATTCTTTGTATATTTTGGATAAAAGTCGTTTATCAGATATGGCTTTTGCAAGTATTTTCTCTTAGTCTGTGACTTGTCTTCTCATTTTCTTGAGGCCCTTACTTTTTGAAACTAGTGAATTTTTATCCCATGAAAACAAATTTACCTTTGACTTTACCTTGAAAATTCTTGATGTTGTTCAGAAGTGGGTTTGGGTAAGAAGGTGCGGGGTAGGGATTAGCAAGAAAACATTATTCTATTTAAAAGCTATTTGAGCCACAGGATTCTGCAGCGTTACCTTCCTATACAAAGACAAAGTCACTTTGAAAGCAGATAGACTTGTCCCCATTAAATGTTTGTTGGATGTTTTGTTTTACAGTCTGTATCAGTTGGCTTTTGCTATGTAACTAACCATTCCACACTTAGTGGCTTCAAATAATCCTGTATTAGCTCATGATTCTTCAGGTCATCTGATCAGTTCTTCTCCCATAGGGCGACCTTGCTGATCTCTGCTGGGCTCTCTCATATGTCGGCTGATGGCTGAATGATCTAAAGTAGCTTCACTCATGTGTCTGGCAGTTAGCTAGAACAACAGAGCCTTGTGTATCTTAACATTCAGTAGGCTAACCTGAACCTCTTTACAGGATGGCAGCCACAGGATTCCCAAGAGCTGCAAGTGGGCAAGCCCCTGTGTGCTAGCTTATTTCACGCCACAATTTGCATCACATTTGTTAAGGTCTTATTGGCCAAAGAAAGTCACAAAACCAGCTCAGAGTCAAGAGATGGAGAAACAGACACTACCTCCTGATAAGACCTTCTGTCGCTGCAATGGCACAGAAACAGGGAAGGAACAAGTTTGTGTGTGGCCAGTTTAATAATAGCCTTGTGCTTGACGGTCAGTACATGACTGCATCTAATTTGCATACATGGATATACTTCCAACCTTCACATACAAAATGCCCATAAAAATGGTAACATAGCTAAGTGCAATGGCTCATGCCTGTAATCCCAGCACTTTAGGAGGCCAAGGCAGGCGAATCATGAGGTCAGGAGTTCGAGGCCAGCCTGGCCAACATGGTGAAACTCCATCTCTACTAAAAACATAAAAAATTAGCTGGGCATAGTGACAGGCACCTGTAATCCCAGCTACTCCAGAGGCTGAGGCAGGAGAATCGCTTGAACCCAGGAGGCAGAGGTTGCAATGAGCTGAGATCACACCACTGCACTCCAGCCAGGGTGGACAGAGTGAGACATCTCAAAAAAAAAAAAAGGAACACAGCATCCTGGCAAATTAACTCTCTGGTGGCAAACTCATGTCTCATTATTTTAGGTATGATTTATGGCAATTTTGATAAGACCGAGAATATAAAACAATGGTGGCAGAACCTACCCCCAAAATGCTAGGACAGGTGCTTTTATTCAATCACTCAGCAACTAATTACCGAACAAATACTTCCTTAAGTGCCTGGGATTCAACAGGAACAAGATAAACTCCTTGCTTTTATGGAGTCTGTGTTCTAGTGCAGGAGCGGAAAAACAAGTAAGTGCCAGGTCGGGATCAATACGCCGAAACGGCAGGGCGGGGAACAGAGTGATGGGAGGATTTTCTAGAGGACCCCAAATGAGCTGGCCAGTCTCTCTGAGACCATTTAATTTTCTTGACTTTGGTTTTTTCATCAGCTTGTACCGTGGTAGGTCTCAGTGCAGATGCTGATGGGGACCAGCAGAGCATCTGTTACGGCTCTGGTGGATTTCTCTCTGGTAGAGCAGGGAGCCAGACAGAGTGGGAAGTGGATTGCAGGACTTGTGGTGTTGGACTCACGAACGGGTCTGATGTGTCCTGAAGGCAGGATATTCCAGCTGGAGGTATCTGGCACCTCAGAAGCCCTATCAGAGCTGGGTCCTCAGGGAGCATGCTATGGGACTAGTGCGATGCACTTCGGTATAAAGAAGAGCAGAGCATAAGGAGAGAGGGTTGAGCTAGAACTGTGGTAGCTATAGCAACGTGATACTGACAGTTAAGTCACCACAAAGAGAATATTGGTCAACTGTGATTGCCCCAGCATGGCTTGAGAACATGACACCTTGAAGTTACAAGGTGGAGAAAGTCAGGGAGAGAGAATTCTGTTGTGTTGAGTTTTTCCCAGCAACCCATGTCTTACCCAATCCTTTCCTTAGTGAGTCAAGGCTGTGACAGGCCAGCACATGGTGTGTTGTGTGGCTCTGTTCGTTGTTAGCTAGGACAGTGAAATAACCTTTAATCTCCATTTCCACCCCCGCCCCAACTTTTTTTTTTTCTTTTTGAGACAGAGTCTCGCTCGGTTGCCCAGGCTGGAATGCAATGGTGTGATCTCGGCTCACTTGCAACCTCTGCTTCCTGGGTTCAAGCAATTCTCCTGCCTCAGCCTCCTTAGTAACTGGGATTACATGCATGTGCTACCATGCCCGGCTAATTTTTTTTTTGTATTTTTAGTAGGGACAGGGTTTCACCATGTTGGTCAGGCTGGTCTCAACTCCTGACCTCGTTATCTGCCCGCCTCGGCCTCCCAGAGTGCTGGGATTACAGATGTGAGCCACCATGCCCGGCCCCTCACCTGAAGGTTTTGAATCAACCTTTATTCAGAGACCTCTTCTGGGTTTGCATTTTATGATTATTGGTAAGCTGTTGGGAATCCACTGCTGATAGGTGGAGGGGATAACTTTGACAGTGTTTTGGGTTCTAGAATTTCTGCAGACAGACTGGCTTTCTCCCCAAGTCCCTGACTCCAAATTAACATCTTTTAATTATAAACTTTGGAAAAGCTCTTTTTTTTCAATCTCCTTTCTAAGTAATAGGTAAGGTGAAAAATCAGAAAGAAGGGTTAAAGATATGATATATGATCCCCCTTTCATCTCTGATGGTCTAAAGAGAGTAATAAAGTGTCAAGTTTCATTTACTCCCAGAAAGTCTAGTTTCCTCTCTCATCAAAGCAAGTGGTAGGGCCTTGGCAAGTCTCTGGATGGAGAAAATGTTTCTTTTTTAATTGTTATCAAACAAAGCTGCTTCTAAGTCAGCCTGGGAGTAGCCCTCACGGAGAAGCATTCAAGACCTTTGAGATGTTAGCTTCTGGAGGACAGGAGCCCTGTACTGAGTAGTGGTCCAGCTGACAGGATGTGACAGCTTTGTGTTGCTTAACCACAGTCAGAACTGCAGTGCCTATGCCTGTGCCTGCTATGGCTCAGAGTTGGCCCCATTGTCACCCCTGAGCCTCTACACGTGTGGCCTCATTGCCTTTCCTATGATCGGGTAGCCCTGCGTGGCTGCACGCCTCGCCTGGTTCTCATTCTGCCCATGCAGGTGTTTGTGAGCAGGCAGCCCTGATAATAAGGCCAGCATTGCCATCTCCTGCCCTTCCATCCCGCAGCCCCTTTCTTCTTTCTGCCTTCCAAGTAACTGACTTTAGAGAAACCACACGTACCAGGACCAGATGACCCAGCGTGTCCCAGAATCCATGAGAGTGTTATCTTGCACGTGCAGGTTTGGTTTTCTTGCCAGCTTGGCATAGCGATTTAGGAGAAGCCAGGGCAATGTCTTGAGCTAGGACGATCTACCCAGTGTGGGTTTTTATCTCTCTCTTCCAGGGTGAGCTGGCGGCACTGCTGGGCCTCATGGTAGGTTATCATAAATTAGACTTTAGCGCTCCAGAGGTAATGCAAAGCCACAGTGTCTGGCCTGGAGAAAATAAGGGGTAGGTGTGCCAGCCTTGAGTGTGGTGACAAATCAGCAACACTCCCCTTCAGCAGTAACTGTGTCATTGTATTTCTCTCAAATCAAATGAGGTGACTTTCAATGCAACTTTCCTCCTAGAGCTTTGCCTGATATTTGGCTCTTCTTAGAATAATAGTAATCTACCAGTTAGCTTCTGCTGTGTCATAAAGCTCCCCAAAGCTTAGTGAGGTGAAATCGTAACCTGCACAGGTCAGCTACCCAGCTGATCTGGACAAGGCTTGACTAATCTCATGGGCTCACGCATGTGCCTGCAGGCACTGATGGGTGGACCACAGCTACCAGCTCCGAGGTGGCATCTCTCACATGTCTGCTACTTGGTGGAGCCACGGGTCTCTCATCATCCGAAGGCCAGCCTGGGTGTGTAAAGTCTCGGAACTGAAGCTTTTTATGCACTACATGTATTTTCCTCTGCCTCCTTTACTGCATCTAAGAACTAAGCGTTTAAAAAAAAAATTATTCTCTTTGAACGTTATGAAAGCCAAAGTTGTCTAAAATGAGAAGACTGCTCTCTTAGACTCTATTATGTTGGCCTAATTACATATCAGCAAAATGTTTTTCTGGGGCATTGTGTGTAAAACAAAGGCGAAAACAACATCTCTAGCTGGCCAGCGTGCTGTCCCCTCCTCCTGCGGAGGCCTGGGGAGGCTGAGGGTGAGGAAGGCTGGCTCCACTGGCTGCAGAGGGCTTTGCTCTTTCTCCACAGAGCAGCAGGTCGCCCCTTCCCCTCTCCCTCCCTCCACCTCACCTCCATGGGCTCCACCAATGGGAACCATGTGCTTGTTCTCCCCACCCATAGACTGGGATCTCCTGGGGCAGAAGAGGCTTCCCAAGTGGTCAGCACAGAGCCAGGATGGCTGACTGGAGATTCATGAATGAACAGTGGTCCCAGGCATAGCCCTGCCCAAAGCATCCTGAGGACCACATGGAGTTTCCTGCAACAGCGCCACACCCCTGTGTTCCAGCATCAGCTTTCCACTTGTTAGGTGAAGTGGCCCTTCTTTCTGGCTTGGCATTCCCCTCTGTCCCGCCTCTGGTTCTCCACTTTCCATGGCCATATGAAAGCAGGACCCCTGCCCTTATTGAGTGCCGCTGTGGCCAGCATGTGCTGAGCAGGGCCCAGGCAGCCCTGAGAACGTGCCGGCATGCTCTGCCTCTTCTGAACTAGCAGCTGTCACTTGACCTTGCCGTCAGCCACTTCCCTCCTGCGGAGTCCCGCCTGTGGCCTTCCCAGACCTCACCATCCATCCAGAGACAGTTTCCAGGCTTCTTGTGACTTGCCCTCCTGAGATATTTGATGGTATGATCAAATTCCCTTCTTCTTTTCTTTTTTTTTCCTTCAACTTTTAAGTTCCAGGGTACAAGTGCCTTATGTGCAGGTTTGTGACATGGGTAAACTTATGCCATGGTGGTTTGCTGTGCAGATCGGGCCATCACCTGGGTATTGAACCCAGCATCCGTTAGCTATTCTTCCTGATGCTCTCCCTCTCCCCGCCCCCCCGACAGGTCCCATGTGTGTTGTTCCCTACCATGTGTCCACATGTGTTTTCATCATTCAGCTCTCTCACTTATAAGTGAGAACATGTGCTGTTTGAGTTTCTGTTCCTGTGTTAGTTTGCTTAGGATAACAGCTTCCAGTTCCATCCATGTCCCACAAAGAACATGATTTGTTCCTTTTTATGGCTGCATAGTATTATGGACTGAATAAAGAAAATGTGGTACAAAGTCCCTTCTTAAGTCTGTTTCCCACGCTGGATTGTCCAAGGACTGATTCCTTCTCACTCAGCCTGTGTTTTCATTCATCTTCTGCTCACCTCCCCACAAGGGAATCCAGCCCTCAGCCAACCTCATCCCTCCAGGAGGTTTCGCCTATGCTGTGTCTGTCAACACCTCCAAGTGTTTATCCCCATCCTAACCTGTTCCTGGCCCTGAGCTGCAGATCCGTTTCCTGTTGCTACTGCAACAAATCACAGACTGAGTGACTTAAAACAACTCAAGTGTATTGTCCTACATTTGTTGAGGTCAGAAGTCTGAAATGAGTATTAAGGGGCTAAAATCAATGTGTTGACAGGACCACATTTTTGGTGGAGACTTTTAGGAGAGAATCTGTTACTTACCGTTGCCAGCTTCTAGAAGCTGTCCATGTTCCTTGGCTCATGGCCCCCTCCCTGCATCACTCCAGCCTCTGCTGCTGCCATCACATCCCCTCCCCTGACTCTGGCCTTCCTGCCTGTCCCTTGTAAGGGCCCCTGTGATTACACAGGGCACACCTGGATAATCCTGGCTAAACTCTCCATCTCAAGGTCCTTAGCGTAATCACATCGGCCACATCCCTTTTACCATGTTAAGGGAACATTTTCACAGGCTCCTGGGATTAGGTTGTGGAAATCTTTGGGGCCATTATTCTGTCTACCACAGGCTGTTTCATTTAGCTGCCTCCTGGACATCTCCATGGGTTCCTCAAACTCAGTGTGTCTAGAATAGAATTCGTTCCCTCATTGTCCCTCCTTGTCCCGTATGCCTCGGCTCAGCACATGAGCAGCCATTGCCCAGTTCTCTAAGCTGTTGTCTGGGTGAAACATAATGTTAAACACAAATCCAGCACTGATGGGCACTTGAGTAGTCTCCAGTGTCTTGCTATTGCAGACAGCTATCCAGTGAATATCTTTGTGCATTTCTCTTTTTTAATATGTAGGACAAATTCCCAGAAGTGAGATTGTTGGTCAAAGGGTAAATGTGTTTGTAATTTTGAAAGATACTGTAAAATTGTTCTCTAGGAGGGTTGAATCAATGAGCCCTTCCACTAGCAGTGTACAAGAACGTGTGCTTCCCACAGCCTTGGCAACAAAGCAGGTGGCCTAACTTGTGAATTTTTAACAGTTCAATAGGTGAAAAAATAGTATCTCAGGGTAGTTTTAATTAGCATTTCTCTCATGAGAGTCTGCATTTTTCTCATGCGCTTAATGGGTGTTGGAATTTTCTCTTCTTTTCTTTTTGAGATGGAGTTTCGCTCTTGTTACCCAGGCTGGAGTGTAATGGCGTGATCTCGGCTCACCGCAACCTCCGCCTCCTGGGTTCAAGGAATTCTCCTGCCTCAGCCTCCTGAGTAGCTGGGATTACAGGCACAGACCACCATGCCCAGCTAATTTTTGTATTTTTAGTAGAGACGGGGTCTCACCATGTTGACCAGGATGGTCTCGATCTTTTGACCTCGTGATCCACTCGCCTCGGCCTCCCAAAGTGCTGGGATTACAGGGGTGAGCCATCGCGCCCCGCCTGGAATTTTCTCTTCTGTGATCTCTCTTCTTATCTTTGTCCCTTTTAAAATTTGGATTGCTGGATTTTTTCTTTTCAATTTTTAGAAGCCCTTTTTTGTCTGTAATATGAGCTGCAAAATTTTTCCATTTTGTCATTTGTCTTTTATATCATACATACGAGTTTTTATGTAATCAAATTTGTCATTTTTATTTTTTGGTTTCTGGATTCTAGGTTATTTAGAAAGGCCTTCCAGTGTTGCCTTTAAACATTAAAATAATAACATTTTATTAAATGAGGGGGATTGGACACAGGCATCTATTTCTTTTCTGAAAAATCCCAGTGAAATGAAACTAAAGGAATGATATAATTAGATAGATAGAGGCAATTCTCAGATTCTATATTTGCAAATTCATCTGCTTACTAAAATGTTTTGTGACCCCTAAATCAATACAAATGGCATTTTGTGGTCATTCGCAAACATGTGCAGAAGAGCGAAAATTTTGACTTGCCTGACGTGCACGTTTCTAGCTAAGGTCGAACAAGGTGATACTGCGCCTGGTTTCAATGTTCATACTAAAAACAAGTGTCCTTCTTGCGGTCCACATAGTGCCACGTTTTTCACATTTTTGTGCTTTTTGTTGGCGATTTAGCGGTTAAAAATAGCCGCTGAGCATAAAGTACTGTCTAGGGTTTTTAAGTGCGGGAATGCTATGATGTGCTTACAATGAAAATACCAGTGGTGGGTAAGGTTTGTCCAGGCAGGAGTTATAGTACTGCTGGCTGCAAGCTCAATGTGCATGAATCAACACTATCTATTAAACAAGGTTATGTATTGATCAGTTTACAAAAATGTTGCAACCAGAGGCTTGCAAGACCCTAACCCTGGATTTCTCTTATGAGCAATGGTTCAATATTCACTAATGCCCTATTAAAAATGACTTTACAGAACATAGCTACCAAGAATAATGAGGTTCAATTGTAGGTAGGCAGGTAGGTAGGTAGGTAGGTAGGTAGATAGATAGATGCCCACAAAAACAAAAAGATTAGAAGAAGATAAAGTAGAAAATGAATGATTTCAATGAATTTTTAGAAGATGAAAAGTTGATAGAGGAATCTAATTCATTTAGCAAAATGGAGGAAGCTACAACCTGGACAAGAAGGGTGCCATTTGTCTCTTGCAGAACCCCAGAAAAACTGTGATTTTCAAAGCACAAATCACCATGGGATGGGAGGTTGGGGGATGTGAACTGCAGAGCTGAAAAACAGGGCATTGGTTTAAAGTCCTAACATGGTGCAGTGAGATCTCTAGCCTCCCCATCTCTCTCTCATGCAACCTGGGCACTGTAGAGATATTGCAGGGATTAGAAGAAAGTACTTAATAAGATAAAGTAAATGTATCCGTGAAACAAAAACGAGATGCTATTTAAAAAGAAGCAATCAAAGGATAAGAAAGAACGTTTAGATCTTAAAAATAGGGCAGCAAAAAATTTAAAAACATAACGAGTGGGAAGACAAAATGAAGGAAATCTCTCAGAAAGCAAAATTAAAAGAGTAAGAAAATTGTGAAGGAAGATAATAAAATTAAAACATCTAGCCGGGCACCGTGGTTCATGCCTGTAATCTCAGAACTTTGGGAGGCCAAGGTGGGCGGATCACCTGAGGTCGGGAGTTTGAGAGCAGCCTGACCAACATGGAGAAACCCTGTCTCTACTAACAATACAAAATTTGCTGAGCATAGTGGCACATGCCTGGAATCCCAGCTGCTCAGGAGGCTGAGACAGGAGAATCACTGAAACCTGGGAGGCAGAGGTTGCAGTGAGCCAAGATTGCACCATTGCACTCTAGCCTGGGCAACAAGAGGGACACTCTGTCTCAAAAACAAAACAAAACAAAACAAAAAACAATCTATCACACATATTGATTAATACCAGGTCCAGGAAAAAAGAAGAAAAGAAGATAGAAAATGATGTGGAGAAATGTTATCAAAGGGTGGTGGGAACACTTTGCAGAACCAAAGGACAAGATTCAGATTGCAAGGCCATTGGGTGAACAAGCCTTTGAGGGAAAAAAGACCCACACCCAAGAACGTTGTCATGAAATTCTGGAACTTCTAGGGGAGAAAAAAAAAAAATCCTAAAACTTTTCAAAGCAATATAAGAGGTTATATTAAAGTATTAGTAATCACAATAGATTATCTCAATAGCATTGCTGACATCTAGAAGCTACTAGAGGAATACTTTGAAAAGTTTGATGGATAAATCGATATCAGCCCAGACTTCTGTACCTAATTTGTTAATTAAAAGCATTTTTAGAAATGCATGGATTCAGATGACTTCTAGGGCATTGTTGCCTAGAGAGTCACTAGAGGATGTGCTCCAGCAAAATGAGGAGGAAACCAAAAAAAGAGAACATACCAGCCATAGACACTAATTTAGGAAGAACTCAGGGATGGAAAGCAACCAGACCAGATTGGAGCAAGGGTTTAGAAATGATGTCTCCAGTGGGGAAAAAAAAGGGAAGTAATGTATTTAGGCACATGGAATATTTATTGATGGGCATTAAATAGAGATACTGCAACATGTGGGATAAATTACTGATGGGTTCATACACAACCAGGAAGATGAAAAAAAATTGAGGTAATAGTTAACTCCAGGAAAAATAAAGGGTCATATAAAAAAGAAGGCATGGGCCGGGCGTGGTGGCTCAAGACTGTAATCCCAGCACTTTGGGAGGCTGAGGCGGGTGGATCATGAGGTCAAGAGATCGAGACCATCCTGGTCAACATGGTGAAACCCCGTCTCTATTAAAGATGCAAAAAAATTAGCTGGGCACGGTGGTGTGTGCCTGTAATCCCAGCTACTCAAGAGGCTGAGGCAGGAGAATTGCCTGAACCCAGAAGGCAGAGGTTGCAGTGAGCCGAGGTCATGCCATTGCACTCCAGCCTGGGTAACAAAAGCGAAACTCCGTCTCAAAAAAAAAAAAAAAAAGAAGGCATGGTCATAATGCATTATTTGACTCAGCATTGAGCAATATTTGCAAAATTGTGGTAACACAAACACTGACTTTTGATTTACTTTAAATTGCAAAATAACCATTTGGAACACAAAGAAAATGGAAATAAGAAATATATATGGCAGCACTAAACCTTTATTTCCCGTGGTAGAAGATTAAGATACTTAAAATTGATAAGTAAAGTAAGAGTAGCATAAGCACACCCTGCCAGTAATTTGTGGGCATTAGTGTTGTGGTAGCAATTTTACAAAAAATGCAGAACAGTTTTTTGCAGGACTGTTCCTTATGTACCCTGATTGATGAAGGGCAAGGGCTCAGTCCCGTGGATGTCAGGAACAGAGGCAAACTGTTCCCAGTCACTGTTTTCAGGTGCTTCAGACGTGGTCTCAAGCAACTTTCAGACAAGGGAAATCAAATTCCTTTTCATTTACAATCATGTATAAAGAGCAAAATATTTTCTTTCAAACTTCTTTTCTCCCAGATTGTGTCCACAGGATGAAACACAGGAGAAAAGAAGAGCACACTGACATTCAGAATACAGACTTTCTCACTGGACCAATTTATGAATTCCTAATTATTTCCCTGCATAGAGGATCTTTAAATATGATCAACTGACAAATGCATTTCTTAGTAAACTCTACGTTCTGTTGTCCTAATTTTTGGAGGGTAAAGAAAGGTTGTGTAGGATGCCTGTTTCTTCAGTTGATTTGCAACCACTGGAGAAATTATAGGGAACAAAGGAAAAAAGAGCCATAAATACAAATGAATTCCTTTTATACCAGTTGAAAAACCACAGGACACGCTCCATTTTTTAACACTCCAGGTGTGATCGGAGATTACGTATCCACCACAGGAGAGTGGAGAGTTAATTAAAATTTTTGCTCCTACTCAGAGAAAGAAATGTCTTTTTGTTTGATAAGCAGGCTGGCTTTTGAGTGCTGTTGGTGCTTTCTTCTCTCCTCACTGGAGTGTCGCAAAAAAGCAGATCAAAGAGTGCCTTCCATCCGGTTATGTTTCCTACCACCTTTCTTAGCTAATGGACTTAAAAGCGTCTTTCACTGACAGGCTCATCTTGTATTTTAGAAATGCCATCTCCTTACTATATTGATAATACGCAAACAGGCTTTGATAGATGCTTACCGAAAACTGCATTTAACATTAATTAAGCCAAGACCATCCCAAATAGTTGGAGTGGGAGAGTCTGGCAGAGTGCAACATCTCGCCCCTACCTTTTGTATTTAGCTTGTCAACTCACCATGTGATGGCCAGAAATTAACACGTGAGATTGAACCCTCAGCTCTCTCAAGCAGGGTTAGAGAGAGCTGAGGGTTCAGGCTCATGTGTTTTCCCTTTTACTTTTGGTCTTTATGATTCTGCACCCTCTGGCTGACACCTCCTACCCTGGGGGGAAAAATGTTTGGGAGCAATCCTGCCGTTTTTTTTCTTTAAGAGTGACAAAATGAAATAAAACAGAGCAAAACGGAAGCGTTCGTGGTCTAAGCAGGAGGGTCGGGCGGCAGCAGGGGTTGTTCATTGTCTCGCAGCTCTGGGTGCCTGCCGAGAAAACCCAGCCCGGGATGCAGCCACCAATAAAAGGACTCCATTCTGCCACTCAGGGCTTTGTGAGGCGCCAAAGCTTGTCCTGGTTGCCATGGCTACTGTCTGATTGTGGCGGGTTTGTCATAGTGCTTGATAAAGTGGGAAGGTTATTCTTGATAGGCCCAAGTAATCATAACCTCCCAAAGCTTGAGAGTATGGACTTAAAATTGTTTTTCCTCCTCTCTCTTTTAAACTGGGAATCTGGGGATGGGGGCAGGGGTTCTCAGGGTAAAGCAACCCCAGGGCTCCTTCAGCAGGTGGTGAGCGTGGTACCCAGCAGGAGGAATACTGGCTGTGCTGGTCTGGAAGGGAGGCATGCGTGTGCCCAGAGACCAGGCAGAAAGGATGATCACAACTGCTGGGCCATCTCTGGCCTGATAGGGCCTTCAGGGAAGGGACCAGAATGGTGTTCTCTCCTGGCCCCTCCTGTAAATGGATTATCCCCGTACCTCTCTCTCCTCTGCTCCCTTCGCTCCTCCCTTCCTCCTTCCCCCTTCCCCCCTCCCCCCTTGCCCCTTCCTTTACTGAGTTTCCTCTTTCCCTTTCCCCTTCTCCCCTTCTGCCTGTCTCAGTCCACTCGTGCTGCTGTAACAGGATACCTGAGATTGGACAATTCATAAAGGACAGACATTTCTTGGCTCCTGGTCCTGGAGGCTGGGAAGTCCAAGGTCAAGGGCCTAGCATCTTGTGAGGGCCTTCTTGCTGCGTCATCCTGTGGCAGAAGGGCAGAGAAGTGGGGAGACAGCAAGAGACTGAACTCGTAGCCTCAAGCCCTTTGCTTGAGTTGGCATTAATCCATTCACAAGGGTTGAACTCTCCTGACCTAAACACCTCCCACGAGGACCCACCATCCAGTGTCACTGCATGGGGGATTAAGTTGTCAACACATGGAAGCTTTCTGGGGGACACATCCAAACCTCAGCACTTTCCTTCTTTTCTCCCCTTGCTCCATCCGTTCCCTTGTGTTGCAGCAGAATTTCTAATAGAGCTGATCCTTTAAAAATACATTTTTTTCCGCACATGGAGAATAATGGGAAAAGTTAGATTTGAGGCAACAGCTGATAGATTCTGGCCACAGAATTACAGACTTTTCTTTTGCCAGAAGAGACCTACACGATCACCTAGGCGGTGGTTCTCAGACCTAGCTGCATCAGGACTACTGGGAAGGGCTTTTTAAAACACAGATTATGGGCCCCTACTCCCAGAGTTCCTGATTCATCAGGTCTGGAATGGGGCCCCGAGAATCTGGGCTTGTCACAAGTTCCCAGGTGATGCTGCTGCTGACTCGGGGTCCATGCTTTGGGAACCACTGACATAGGCCAGCACCCATTTTACACAGCTGAGGAAACTGAGGCTGAGTGATAAATTAATCACCAGGGGTCCAGGTGACGTGGTAGCCACTGTGGAGCCGGTATCCAGTTATAGAAGCTTTAAAAGCCATTTGAGGAGATGGGACAGGTTGTTCCCTGCTCTCCCTTCCATCCCCCTCGCCCAGAGCAGCCAGATGAGCTGGTTCTCTTCCCAAACGGCTGCCAGCAGTATAGCCACTCACCATGCGTGGCCGCCCTCTGAGTGGAGCACTCCAGACCACAGTCACACGCACTGCCTCTGAGTTAAGCCGACCACAGACCTTGGAATTCTAGGCCTGGCTTTACTTTCTAATTTGTACATGCCCGGGAAGCCTGCTTTGACTGTGGCTGGGATCTCTCCCACCTCTGCTGGCATTCAAAGTCTCATGGCCCTGCCAGTGAGCCCTTAGGTTTTGTAGTTCCTCACCTGTTTGTGCTGTTGCCTCTGTTAGCCAGTGACCTCCAGGGGCCAGGACCATGCCTCTGCACCCACCACGGCTCTAGAGTACTTGCTAAATGAACTATGTGGGCATACAAGGTGGAAAGAATCTGGATACACATGTGAGATTTTCAGAAGCCAATACAAGAAGCCAAACTAGAAGGGATGGGGAGTCCAGTTACACAGGGGGCAGGGGTGAGGGCTACACCTTCAGTGTTAGTGAGGGGCCTGGAGGAACAAATGAGGCCTGTTGCAGTGAGAACGCCCCCAGCAGTGAAAGCCAGTGCAGGGGCCTCACATCTCTCCCTGGGCTAGCAGGGAGCTGAGTTTTTAAATTCAAAGACAAATATTAGTTAACCCAGATCCTAATTTGAAATAAAACATGGCAGGCCAGGTGTGGTGGCTCACGCCTGTAATCACAGCACTTTGGGAGGCTGAGGTGGGCAGATCACGAGGTCAAGAGATCGAGACCATCCTGGCTAGCATGGTGAAACCCCATCTCTACTAAAAAAAATACAAAAATTAGCTGGGTATGGCGGCGTGCGCCTGTAGCCCCAGCTATTCAGGAGGCTGAGGCAGGAGAATCTCATGGGGCGGAGGTTGCAGTGAACTTGAGATTTCACCACTGCATTCCAGCCTAGCAACAGAAAAAAAAATGGCAGGATTCATTCATCCCTGCATGGAAGGGCACATAACATAGGCAAAGTGGCTTCTGTGTGTGCATACACGCGTGCATGTGCATGTGCACGTGTGGGTTGCTACTGTGGCTGGATGCAAACAACAAGTTGGCCATTTGTCAAATGTATGTTAACTCCCCACAACACACTCTGAACTCATCCAGAGCAGCACGTGTACTTATACTGGATACTTCTCAGAGGTGAGACAATTATGCTTCATCAGTGAAACTCACAGGAGGCTATTTGTCCAGACAAGAATAAAACAAAATTAATGGATTAATCTTTTGGCTGTAATTCCCTGCCGACGTCACAGGCTGAATTGGGGCCCAGCAAAAAATCCCCTGTTGGCCGTTTGACTCCAAACTTTTAAAGTCAGCAAGCACTGGAGCAGGAACCTCTGAGCAGCCGCGCACCGCCACCTCGTTTCTGCTTTGCTGGATTGGCAGATGGAATAGTCCCCTCTCATTGCTTGGGACTTGGCTCGTGGCAGCAGTGGCACTAATGCTGGCCTTGTTCCCCCAGGGTGTCGAGGTGCAGACAGACTACGTGCCCCTGGTGAACTCACTGGCGGCCTACGGCTGGCAGCTCACCTGTGTGCTACCGACTCCCGTCGTCAAGACTACCAGGTAATAATCACAGTAATCGTTAGGATTCTATTGAACACTTACTCTGTACTAGTGATCACTGTTCCTAATGAGCACCTCATGTCTATAATTATTTAATCCTGTGCAAGAGGCTAGTAGTTACGTGAACTTTCCCACTGGGAAGCAGCAGAGCCAGAATTTTGCATTCTTAACCACCATCACCCAGAGAATTCCCCTGCACCCCATTTCCCACATGGGGGGCCCTGTGAGTCATTACTGCCCAGCATGTCAAAGATGAGCCACCCAGACTGAGGGGGCCCAGAGCCTCTAATGCAAAAGAAATCCAGGTCCTACTACGTGCCTTGTGCTAGGCTAGGTAGGCACTTTACACATAAAAATTCAGTCCTCAAAAAGAAAAGAAAAATCCTATGAGGTAGCACTGTATTATTATAAACCCATTTGACAGCTGAGGAAAGTGTAGCCAGGAAGGTTGAGGGACTTGCCCAAGATCATGGCACTGGTCAGTAGCACCACAAAGGGACTGTGAAGACCCGCCCTTCGGGCCTTGTGTGGCATTCCTTCCACATTCATGGTCATTTGTTCACCCTCAGTTCTGCTCGCCTGCCTTGAGCCCAGTCCTACCAACCAGAAAAGGCCCTCCAGCTATATGCTGGGCTTACTATCCAGTTTAGTCCTCCTCACCGTCCTGTGGGGTTGCAAGCATGGGTATGATTCCCATTTTGCAGGTGAGGAAACTGAGGCTGGGGAGGCTTGGTCACATACTTAAGGCTATATAACCAGCTAAGTGGCAGAAACTGGGCCTAGAACCTCAGCCCACTTCTCCTGGAGCAGGCCGCCTCTCTGCTGACGAGAGGAGCAGGGAGACCCCTCCTGTGGCCCCCAGAGCTCCGCCTTCTCCAAGCCCTGCGGCAGTCACCACTGGATAGTGACAGACAGCATGAGGAAAGGCTGGTGACCAGGGTGATTGAGAGTACAGAATCATGGTGACAGTCGATGTCTTTCCCGGTCCTTCCTCTGGCTCACCGGGCTCCTCAGGTTCCGCGCTGGGTCACAGTGGGTCAGCGCACCAGGGGGAGCTAGTCTGTGGCCACTTTTGAGCCCCTTGGCCACTGGGAACCATCATATTCTTTCTTAGCCAAGACTTCAACAGGCACAAGGCAGTGAAGTGGTATAGAAAGAACCCTGGATTTGGGGCCTAAAGATTTGAACCCAAGTCTTCAGTCTGCCACTTACCAACTATGTCATGTTGATCAAGTTACATAGCTTCTCTGAGTCAGTTTCCCGGTCAGTTTCCAGATGATAAGACTCACAATAAGAATGTATTTGAATGTGAAGGCCCAGCTGGTTCTGAGCCATCTAAGCCCAGGGGCTTGGGACAGGTCTGTCTCAGATCTTCACACCCGCTAAATAATACTTCCTAATCCTCCACCTCCCTGTTCCTTAAACAACCACTTGTGGTGGAATTTGGCGAGTTTGTGGGGACACCGAGGCAGGTGGATCACCTGAGGTCAGGAGTTCAAGACCAGCCTGGCCAACATGGTAAAACCCTAATAACATAAAAATTAGCTGGACATGGTGACACATGCCTGTAATCCAAGCTACTCTGGAGGCTGAGGCAGGAGAATTGCTTGAACCCAGGAGACAGAGGTTGCAATGAGCCAAGATCACACCACTGTACTCCAACCTAAGCGACAAGGGCAAAACTCCATCTCAAAAAGGAAAGAAAAGAAAAAAGTGCATGGAACTGGGCAGATTTCTGTTTGAATCCTCACTGTGTGATCTCCAGCCTGCTCTTGAGCTAAGCCTTTCTTTCCTTCTATAAAAGTGGGAGTAGGATTCCCTGGAGCACTGAGGTGAAGCTTAAATGAGCCATTATGTGTGAAATCACCCAGCCCAGCCGCTAGCACAAAATAGGTGTGGAGCAAATATTATTCCTCTCCCTCCTTTTTCTTAAGAGACTTTGCAGCTGAATGCAGTAATATGTAAAGACATTTACAAAACAGAGATTTAAGAAATGCAAATTAAAACCACAATGAGATAGAGCCTCACACTGATTGGGATGGCTATTATCAAAAAGACAAAAGATAAGTGTTAGCAAGGGTATAGAGAAGAGAACCTTTGTACATTCTTGGTGGGATTGTAAATTAATATCGCCATTATGGAAAAGAGTACAGAGGTTTCTCAGAAAACTAAAGATAGACCCAGCACACGATCCAGCAATCCCACTTCTAGGTATGTATCCAAAGGAACTGAAGTCAGTATGCTGAAGAGGGGTCTGCATTTCCATGACCTTGCAGCTTTATTCACAACACTAAGAAACGGAAGCAGCTTAGGTGTCCCTCGTCAGACAAACGGATAAAGAAAATGTGGGGTATATACGCAATGGAATACTATTCAGCATTGGTGGGTGGGGGGGGGGACATTCTGTTACTTGTGACAAGGATGAGCCTGGAAGACATCATGCTAAGTGAAATAAGCCAGGCACAGAATGACATACTTTATAATCTTTCTCATATGTGGAATCTAAAAAAGTTGAACTCATAGAAGTGGAGAGTAGAGTCGTGTTGACCAGAGGTTGGGGAGTGGGGCGATGGGCAAAGGAGAGAGATTGATCAAAGGGTACAAAGTTTCAGCCAGACAGGAGGAATAAGCTTTGGCCATCTATTGCATGGAATGCTGGCTGTTATAAACAATAGTGCCTTGCATAATTTACAATTGCTAAAAGAGTAGCTTCTAAATGTTTTCACCATAAAAAATGCTACGTATGCGAGGTGATGGATTTGTTAAGTAGCCTGATTTGACCAGTCCACATTGCAAACATATATCAAAACATCACATTCTACTCCATAAATATACAATTATTATTTGTGAATTAAAAATAAAATACAAAATCATCAGAAGGGTGAAGCAGGGGAAAAAAAAAAACAGTGATCTTCTTTACAGTATTTCTATCTCTAAAGGCAGCTCTGGGGTCTTGCCTTCTGGGAAGAGAATATTCACTATATTATAAGATACAAGCTGCCCCTCCCTCACCTGCTTTACTCTTGTGAGCCAGAGCTAGTTAACAGGCACAGCCTTGGGGGGCGCTCCTGGCGCTGCACAGTCTTTGGTGTGCCTCCAGGAGCCATGCATGGCTGAGACCCTGGGTGCAGCCATGCCCTCTGCCCACTGTCCTGTAGCAGCTGGAAGGCTGAGCTCATCACCCAGGTTCTTACCTACCTGGCCATCATTACCAGAGATAGATTTGGAAGAGGCCCCCGCTCCTTTGAGATCCACTGAACCAGCCAACGTGTCCTCATTTGGCCAAGATACTGTTACTTCCCACTAAGGGAATGGGCGTGTCTAGCTAGGAAGCTGACTTTGTAGGGATACCCAAAAAGCTTGTGTTGGGCATCTGAGGTAGCCCCTTGGAAGCAGGGTTGGATGGCCTGGGCGTGGGAGAGTAGAGCAGGTGCCTCTCGACTCCGAACCTGTCATAGTCCCGGGGTGGTCTGCTGTGAAGAAGTTAGGGATGGCAATATCTGCATCAGGTTTTGGGTTCCTCCAAGGCATAAACTGGCTCATTCTCAGCTCTGTGTGTTACAGGGAGGGGAGTGTATCCACCAAGCAGATTGTCTTTCTTCAGAGACCGTGTCTACCTCAGAAAATCAAGAAGAAAGAATCGAAGGTAAGAGACTTTGATGGCCTTCCTAGGTTTTCCTCAGCAGGGTTTCATCTTCAGTGGATTTTCTGCAGCATTTGAGGGGACAGGCTACGCCAGCTTCCAAGGACTCCCAGAGCCCCTGGCAACCCGAATCACATCTCAGGCTGCTAAAACGGGACAGCTGAGGGGCTGGAGGGCCTTGTCTGCCATTGTCCTGTTGGGAAGGCCAGAAGGATGGAGGAGAGAGGCTCTTCAGGAAGCTCCCGCCTGCCAGATAGCATCACTAGGATGAAAAGAAGGGCATGAAGTCAGCTGCAGTCTGACCATGGGGTGGGGATGGTTCGAGCTCATGGCCAGCTTCTCTGTATCTTAATCTCATTTCCAGCTAGTTGGAGCCCTGGCCTGCCTTGTTAGATTCCTCAGGACCTTGGAAGTGTGCTGATCTGGGCAGAGACCCTGCCAGAATCCCTTCTTGACAGGCCTAGACCCAAAGGCCTCTGATGGCAGACAGGGGCTAGCCATAGCCTCTGGCAGCAAGTCCAGGCCAGGCTGTCCTCAGAGATCCCCAGGGCCCTTTTCTGTCTCTGGACTCCGCATGAACTACCCCAGAAACACAGTTCCACAGAGACTGGCCTTCTCAAGTCTTCTCTGTGATTCCTGAAGGTGAGCACAAGGGTTATACCAGGTGCAAGTGTCAGCAACCCTTGTGCCAGATGATTCCGATGCTTCCCACCCGCACTGAGCAGCCTGTGGTGCTTTTCCTGAGGACGTTTCACCAGTTGCTTGGGAAGAGGCTGGTGACTTGAGTGAACCCACCAAAACCTGAGTCAAGTGTCACCTGGATCCAGCTCACTGCACCTTTGATGGCTGAGGCCACGTTCTCAGCACAGCCTCCCTGACCTGCTCAGCTCCTCACTCTTGCCATCACCCCTGTATTCCTGACACTTGGTTCCTCATGTTCTTTGGACACAGAGCCCTGGGGCAGGAACATGAAGCAAATGAACAGATTGCAGCAGCCCCTCACCAGCCAAAAACTCCAGGGGGAGCCCGCTTGTGGAAGGAATGCCAAGGCAATGGTGACTTGAAGCCAGATGGGCTGAAGTGTGGAGGAAGGTCTTTCTCCAGGATCTGAGGGTGTAATGTGACAGGTGACGGTGCAGTGGACCAGAAGGCAGCTGCCGGCCCACCAACAACCACCAGGACCAGGCAGCCACTGGCTGGAAGATGGATCAGCTGCAGAGCGCTCTCAGTTTCAGCTCAGCCACAGGCTCACGGGGACTGCATGCATTCAGCAAGTGTGGCATTCAACATGCAGTGCACACGAGGGCCCCTGACAGACACTGCTGCAGCCTTAGAGGGAGATGGTGCCACCTTTGCCTAACAGGTTCCTGGTTGTGGGGCACACAGATTCCAAAGGAGAGACATGTGGGTGGATGCTGGTATGAAGGTCATGGCATCGCACGGAGGGGGACAGTCAGTGGAAACTTGAGCAGGCAGGGAGATTTTAGAGGTAAATTTGTAAAAGCCGTTATAATAATGTAGAATTGCCTTTCCTCCAGGAAAATTCAGAGAGGATGGGACCTACTGTTTTTTCAGTCAGTAAAAACTTCTAATCCCAATCAGCTGTACTTACCTGCGTAGATGGCTTTCTCTTTCCATGTACCTAATTATTTCCTGCCTCATTCTAAGACCAGAGGTGGCTGGTGTGGAGCACTTGTTCTACGTGAGACTCTCTGGGTCATCTTACAGATGGGAGTACCCCAGAGAGCGGGCTGGGAAGCTAGACTCCCTGGAAGAATCTTCTGCACTGGGTGTCCCCTCCTCACTGCTCAGCCAACATGGGGCAGCATCCTCCTCCCACAGGCCTGTGTACCTGGTGACCGTGAGTCACTCCATCCAGTCTTCCGCATGCCTGAGCTCTTGCAGCCTTGACGCTGGGACCACCCCCACTCCTTGAAGCACCTTTTCTCTTGGTTCTTTCCCACCTCATTCTCCTGGTTTGCCACTAAGTTCCTTGGGGTTCACACCCAGCCCCATTTTCTTCCTTCACTCTTGCCTTCCTAAACCTCCTTCACCACCTCTGTGCCAGTGACCATTCCGTCTGTACTTTCAGCCCTCACTGTGCCCCAAGACTCTGGCTCCATCCATCCTGTGGCTCACTCAAGCTAAGAGCAAGCCCATGACTCTCCCCCTCCCCATACCTGGCCCACTGGGCCCACTGCACCTATCTAAAGGAATGCACCCATTCCTTAGGGGCTGTCCCTGCTGACGCTCCCTTCTCCTTCCCCTGTATTCAGTCTATCCTTAAGACTCATCTGTGTTAGGTCCCAGAGGCTCTGGAATCCCTCCACCTCTCTCTACCATCACTCGCTTTGGCTGCTCCAATCTCATAACAGATCTCCCCTTCAAATAGGTTCTCTATTCAGAGCCAAAGTGATCTGTTAAAAAGGCAACTTGAATCCTGTCATCCCACTGCTCAAAGGAGTTCTGAAGTTTTGTAGGACTCTGAAGACAAAGACGGAAGTCAGCACCGTGGCCCTCAAGACCCCAAGGGACCTGGCCCCTCTTACTTCCTCTGTCAGCCTCCCATTCTCTGTAGCCTCCAGCTCCTCTGTGTCCCCTCTGCCAAGGACTCTCCTCCTTTCTAGCTCCACTCAAGCATCCTTTTCTCAGGACAGTGCTGTCTCCTTTTACACCAAAGCAGGCTTCTTTGTACCACACTGGGAAAGACCCGTGCTCCTCTCCTTCAGAGCTCTCCTCTGGGCTTTTAGTTATTTGTGATCATTATTTCATCCTTTCCAGGCAGAGCCAGACATAATCTCCACAAGAGCAAAGACCTTTTTCCTGTGTTGTGTACCCAGTACCCAGATTTTAGTTGGTGCTCAACAGATATTTGTTAAATCAATGAATGAGTAATCAACTCCTGAGCAAGGACATACATATATCCAGCATTTAAACGTAAGAAATTGCAAGATTGGCACACTGAGGATGTGGCACACTTAGTCTTCTCTTAATCAGCAACATGGACAGAATTTTCTAATCAAGACTTTTCAGCATTTGAAAGAAACCTCTGTTTATGTGCATGTGATTTTCAAACCAAATATTAAACTCCTTCAAAAGGAATAGTGACTTCTACAATTCAGGGGAAGCCTTCCTTCCAGCCACACTAAATAACGGGTAGTTTTTAAAATGTGCAAATTAAACCCATTGGCCCCTGATGACATTGAACTCTGGACACACACTACTGTGACGTGAAGGATTTTTTTTCCTTTTAGACAGTTACTCTGAATTGGGTGGCTAGTTGGATTTGGTGACGCACCCAACTGCCACAGATGCTCTGGCTTGGGAAGGCCCCAACTCAGTGCAGCCTGTTTTACCTGAAGCTTGCTGGTTAAGCTCAGAGACTCCCCAGGTCCTGCTCAAAACATGGAGTCCATTCCCCAGGCTAGATTGCGTGCCTTTAAGTGGTGTGGATGTTAGACCTAATCTCAGAGGCTCTACTGAAATCTGGCATAGTCCGGGCCTCCTCTTGCTTTCTGAGACGCCTCCTTTTTGAATTGTTGGGCTCTGAAACAGTTTTTGTTGTTTGCTTTCCACTGTCCGTGTTCTCCTTTTATATTATATTAGATCAACAAGATCTTCTATAGGAAACTGGATATGGCCAGGCATCCAGAGGAAACTATGCAAGTTCTGTTGTTTATTTAGCAAGAGCAGCCCCTGAGAAGGTCTAGCATGTGATGGAAATGTCTTCAGTAGTACACAGCACAACAGCAGAGGGCGCTATTCACATCAAATACCATGTAAACAGGGCCTGGAGGTGAGCACCACCGTCCTGGAGGTAGAGACAACCATTTTAGAGATGAGTAACTTGAAATTAGATTCATAACCTGCCTAAGGACTGACAGCTAACAAGTGCCAGCGCTAGGATTTGAACCCATACTATAATGCTTTGATATTTTAGCACCTAGGGCCTGTTAGCCAAAACAATCACCACTTTATTGGCAGCAGTAAAACTTCCTCTGACTTTTCTGAGAGCCGACTGCCTCTCGGAATACTATATTATGCAGGTAGGCTTAACTGATCTTTTTCTAAAAACATGTCAAATGTTATAAAATGTGAAGAGGCTCTGACTGTTTTGGAACATCCATTTAAAAAAAGACAGATTCTTACATTTGGGCTGGAATAAAATGCAGTGTCAGCTGCCTAGCACAGGGCAGCAGTTATGAACCATAGCATGGTGCCCGGAAGCTACAGAGCCTTGGTGGAGGCAGCCACGGTCATGCTGAGGGCCGTAACCTGCGGCCTCCTGCGGTGGGTCTGGAGCCTCAGGATGCCTGCCTGGCAGGCCTGGCTGAAGTAGGAGATAGGTCTGAGACACCACCTAGCTTACAGAGCAACTCCATTATTGGGATCCTCATAGTTTGGGTGGAAAAAGCTGCACCCATCTCCTAGGGGAGGTCTGTCAGCTATAGTATGAGACATTCCAAGATCGAAGGAGAAACCCATCCAACATTGGAAGTGAACTAATTCGGGGATTTGGGGGAGTACAGGGTGGGAAAGGACCAGATAATGTTAAATTCTAACCTCAACATGTATTTCACTCACGTTTCTCTACTTCAATGGAACATTCCGTTACCATTCTTATCGGAAAAAAGTGTTAAATCCAAAAATCCTATATTAAATCTCAGAATTCTGTGTTGAGGCAAATATTTTATTTGAGGAAATAGATCTCTACCGTGGAAAACTGCAAAAATGGCAGATTTTAAAACATTTACATAGCACATTTTTGGTTTTTCCTAGCAAAGTGCTCAGAATTATTTACAACATGGTGAAGCCTTAAGAAATCATTTCCCACTGATGGTGCAACTGCATTCTTGGGCTCCCCTCCCTAGCCCAGCAAGAAATCATAGGAACCGAAAGTGCCTCTTTTCTTTCAATTGTAGAGTATCTAAGATTTAAGTGCATACTGGGAGAAACCAGTGTGATGCAACTGAAGCCCAAGGAAGTGGCCGTGGTGGGAACTTAAAACTAAAACCTTGTGTGCACTCTAGGTCACTGAGATGAGAAATTCAGGTTGAGAAACTTGGCCAGTGAGTGGCAGAGCTGGGGCTCCCTTGGGTGGTCTTGCTCCAGAGATTTGATGAGACCCCGGTTGTTGCCCAACTCTATTACTGGCCGTGTAACCTTGGGACTCTGAGCCTCTGACTTCCCTGTCACACGGGGAAATGCTTGGCTGCAGGCTGGGCCCCTTGAGAAGCAGCCACTGAGATTTGGATGAAGTTTTTAGAGGGAGTTACCTTAGGAACACTTGCTAGTACAGGAGTGGGCAGAGGGTGAATTTGGGCTGTGATGCAGTCACAATCCCCCAGGTTGGCTTGGAGCTGGGATGGCGTTTGAGTTGTCCCAGATTGGGACCAGGAAATGGGTTGTTGAATCCTACCTGGACAGTCATTGGCTGTAAGTTGCCCTGGTGTGACCTTCTGTGAGGCAGTGGTCAGCAAAGGGCTATCATCCTAGCTGGGGAGTGGGCCTGTCAGTGCTGCAGGGGATCTGAGTGGTGCAGCACAGTGTCTGCCCCATGGTCTGGGCCCTGCCTTGCTCAGGTAACGTGGTGAGAGAATGCCAGCCCCATGCCTGGTAATCCACAGCCTGCTCAGAATGGAAATGAGTAGCTGCAGCCCTGACTTATTGGGAGTATAGAGCCATTCAAAAGAAACACTCCTCTGCCCTTCCAGAACCTGAAATCTACATCTAAAATACACATCCTACAAGGCAGGGGGAAGGCTCTTGGTGCGGGTGTGATGTGACTGGGTGTGATTCAAGTTTGCTGCCTGTACTGCTTGGCTGGAGGATTCTGGGAATTGCACTTCTCACTTAGACATGGTGTGGGTATGAATGCAAACAAGACTTCGGGTGAAGCTCTGGGTTCCCAGAGGCTTGTTGTTTATGCCCGTCTTCTCTGATTTCTAGTTTCAGTGGCGATTCTCCAGAGAAGAAATGCACAACAGGCAGATGAGGAAATCAAAAGGTAAACTCAGTGCCAGAGACAAACAACAAGCAGAAGAAAATGAGAAGAATTTAGAAGACCAGTCTTCCAAAGCTGGAGACATGGGAAACTGTGTTTCGGGACAGCAGCAGGAGGGTGGAGTCTCCGAGAAGATGAAGGGCCTTGTCCAAGAGAATAAGGGAGAACAGCTGACCCCTGATGGCCGGCTGTGTGGGGTGGGTGTGGAGGGCGAGGCTGTGCAGAACGGTCCTGCTGGCCACAGCAGGGCCCCAGTTGGGGGCTGCACTGGGCGTTCCGATCCTGGAAAGGATGTCAGGGATGGGGATACTGAGGAAGTCGGAGAGCTTGGTATGGCTGAAGAAAACTGAGTGTCGTGCAACTTGTGCTAAAACTAGATGAGCTGCCAAACCCAAGGCATGTTGCCAACAGCTGGTTTGGGGGCTGGTTTCCCTGGTGTTGTGTGTTAACCTACCCTTTGGCTTGGCTTGACTTCTCCTTGTGAGCTCACCTGAGCCCTCCCAGGGCCAGGTTCCTGACAGTGTTGGTTTTTGCACATCTATTGGAAAGGTGTCATTAATGACCCCGTGTGAGAATGCAGGTCAAGTTATTTCTTCTAGACCTCAGGGCTGGAGGCCCAGTCCTGGCTCCAACACTCCTCCTGCCGGAGGGTCTGAACCATCCAGTGCCTGTCTGCCCCATAGGGACTCCGGGGAGCATTCAGGTCAAATCCATGGACACCTTGGGCTACAAACCAAGGCTGGTTGTTCATCCCTTACCCTGTGGGGGCAGTGTCCCTCTCCTGCAGCTAATTGATGACTTTACAGAGCCCTGTCAGCTGCCCTCCTCCACCTAAACCCCTTAGACCCTCCTGCTTTGGCAAAGAAAATGATATGGGGGAGGGGAGGTGCTCAGCTTCCCAGCTTTTCTCAAAGTAGTCCTATAGATACTGGTAATCTGGAAATGAAGAAGTGATTCTGTGTCTGCACCTGCTCTTGCAGAACGTTCAAGGAAGGATTCTGTGTTAGTATTAATGCCAAAAAGTTGTTTTTAAAGGTTTTGTATTCAGCACATCATATGAACACACATTACTTCTGTCATTTCAGGGCACTGGGACTGGCTGCTGCCCTTGCTATGTGCTATTTTAATCAGTGTAATATTGGTCAAGTTGTTACCCATGTATGCTGTGTCGATCATGTGTTTCTATCGTCCAGAAAGTATTAAGGCTGTAAGTAGATACAACTGGCCAACGTTGGAGAGAGAATGCCGATTTTCTTGACCAAAACAACAGCCTTTCTCCTCTTGTTTAGTTACTTACAGCAATAAATCATCTATGAGTTAGTGCACTGTGAGGAGTGTTTATCGTGTCGCTATGAAAAGTCCTGGCCTGATGTCCAAAGGACTCCAGCCCACACCCCCCATTCACTCTTAAAAGTTTCTAACTTCTGGCAGCACGATGATGTGGAGGAGGAAGACAAAATTCCCATGGAAAGCTGCAGAGCCAGCGAAGCTTGCTGTGCTTTCTCATCACCTGTGGAACGAGATGGCAAGTGGAACTCGGATGCCACCAGGTAAGGGGTACAGCCACCTGCCATTTCTGGGATGGTGGAGAAAAATACCTTTTGAAAATAAACACCTCCCATCAATGTATTAACATTGTTTCCAAACTTTTAAGTAAATTATTTAATAAGGCAAGTCTTTTCCCTTTGCAAGTTTACTAAAATAAAACACATTTGTAATCTATTTTTATAAAGCAGAATGTAAAACCTTTGACAGCCACATTCATGTAGTTGTTTCTTCTTGACCCACTCCCCACCCAACCCTCAGGGCTTAAAAAGGTTGAAGGCCCTGTTCAAAGAGAAGACAACTATTTTTTAATGACATTTGCCACAACTGTTTTTAATATCCATACAGCATTTTAATAAAAACTACCTCTTGGCATGTATATCATATATATATATAAATTATATATATATATATGAGATATATATATAATTTATATATATATATGAGATATATATATATGAGATTATATATATATATATATATATATATATATATATATATATATATATAAACTCTTGGACTTCTGGGGTCCAAGTGCAGAATGTGCAGGTTTCTTACACAGGTATACACGTGCCATGGCAATCTGCTTCATCTATCACCCCATCAAAAACATCAGGTATTTTTCCTAATGCTATCCCTTCCCTATCCCCTGCTCTCCCTCTCCTAGTCCCCCGCCCCCAACAGGACCCAGTGTGTGATGTTCCCCTCCCTGTGCCATGTGTTCTCATTGTTCAACACCCACTTTTGAGTGTTTGGCTTTCTATTGTGTCCGTTTGCTGAGAATGATGGTTTTCAGCTTTATCCATGTCCCTGCAAAGGACCTGAACTCATCCTTTTTTTATGGCTGCATAGTATTCCATGGTGTCTATGTGCTACATTTTCTTTATCCAGTCTATCACTGATGGGCATTTGGGTTAGTTCCAAGTCTTTGCTATTGTGAACAGTGCTGCAATAAATATACATATGCATGTGTCTTTATAATAGAATGATTTATAGTCGTTTGGGTATATACCCAGTAATGGGATTACTGGGTCAAATGGTATTTCTACTTTTAGATCCTTAAGGAATCGCAACACTGTCTTCCACAATGGTTGAACTAATTTACACTCCCACCAACAGTGTAAAAGCATTCCTATTTCTCCACATCCTCTCCAGCATATGTTGTATCCTGATTTTTTCATGATTGCCTAGCTTCTAACTGGCATGATATGGTATCTCAATGTGGTTTTGATTTGCATTTCTCTAATGACAAGTGATGATGAGCTTTTTTTCGTATGTTGTTGGCTGCATAAATGTCTTGTTTTGTGAAGTGTCTGTTCAAATCCTTCACCCACTTTTTGATGGGTGGTTTTTTCCTTGTAAATTTAAGTTCTTTGTAGAGTCTGGATATTAGCCCTTTGTCAGATGAATGACGGCAAAATGTCTTTCCCATTCTGTTGGTTGCTTGTTCACTCTGATGATAGTTTTTTTTGCTGGGCAGAAGCTCTTTAGTTTAATTAGATTCCATTTGTCTATTTTGATTGTGTTGCCATTGCTTTTGGTGTTTCAATCATTAAGTCCTTGCCCATGCCTATGTCCTGAATGGTATTGCCTAGGTTTTCTTCTAGGTCGTTTACAGTGTTAGGCCTTATGTTTAAATCTTTAATCCATCTGGAGTTAATTTTTGTATAAGGTGTAAGGAAGGGATCCAGTTTCAGCTTTCTGCACATGGCTAGCCAGTTTTTCCAACACCATTTCTTAAATAGGGAATCCTTTCCCCATTGCTTTTGTCAGGTTTGTCAGAGATCAGATGGTTGTAGATATGTGGCATTACTTCTGAGGCCCCTGTTCTGTTCCACTGGTCTGTATCTCAATAGCATACTGTTTTGATTACTGTAGTCTTATAGTATAGTTTGAAGTCAGGTAGCGTGATGTCTCCAGCTTTCTTTTTTGCTTAGGATTGTCTTGGCTATGCGGGCTCTTCTTTGGTTCCATATGAAGTTTAAGGTGGTTTTTTCCAATTCTGTGAATAAAGTCAGTGGTAGCTTGATGGGGATAGCATGGAATCTATAAATTACTATGGCCAGTATGGCCATTTTCACGATATTGATTCTTCCTAACCATGAGCATGGAATGTTTTTTTCCACCTGTTTATGTCCTCTCTTATTTCCCTGAGCAGTGGTTTGTAGTTCTCCTTGAAGAGATCCTCCACATCCCTTGTTAATTGTATTACTATTTTATTCTCTTTGCAGCAATTATAAACGGGAGTTGACTTATGACATGGCTCTCTGTTCTTAGTGTATAGGAATGGTTGTGGTTTCTGCACAATGATTGTGTATCCTGAGACTTTGCTGAAGTTGCTAATCAGTTTAAGGAGATTCTGGGCTTAGACAATGGGGTCTTGTAAATATACAATTATGTTATCTGCAAATAGAGACAATCTGACTTCTTTTCCTAACTGAATTCTTTTCCCTTTATTTCTTTTTCTTGCCTGATTGCCCTGGCCAGAACTTCCAATACTATGTTGAATAGGAGTGGTGAGAGAAGGTATCCTGGTCTTTTGTCAGTTTCCAATGGGAATGCTTCCAGTGTTTGCCCATTCAGTAGGATATTGGCTGTGGGTTTGTCATAAATAGCTCTTATTGTTTTGAGATAAGTTCCATCAATAACTAGTTTGAAAGTTTTTAGCATAAAGGGCTGCTGAATTTTGTCAAACACCTCTGCATCTATGGAGATAATCAAGTGGTTTTTGTCTTTGGTTCTGTTTATGTGATGGATTACATTTACAGATTTGCTTATGTTGTACCAGTCTTGCATCCCAGGGATGAAGCCAACTTGATTATGATGAATAAATAAGCTTTTTGATGTGCTGTTGGATTCGGTTTGCCAGTATTTATGGAGGATTTTCACATCAATGTTCATCATGAATATTGGTCTTATTGTGTCACTGCCAGGTTTTGGTATCAGGATGATGTTGGTCTCATAAAATGAGTTAGGGAGTATTCCCTCTTTTTGTATTGTTTGGAATAGTTTCTAAAGGAATGGTAGCATCTCCTCTTTGTATGTCTGTTAGAAGTAGAAGCCCGTCTGGTCCTGGGCTTTTTTTAGTTGGTAGGCTAACTGTGGCCTCAATTTCAGACCTTGTTATTGGTCTATTCAGAGACTCAACTTTTTCCTGGTTTAGTCTTGGGAGGGTTTAAGTGTCCAGATTTTATCCATTTCTTCTAGATTTACTGGTCTATTTGCATAGAGGTGTTTGTAGTAATCTCTGATGGTACTTTGTATTTCTGTGGGACCAGTGGTGATATCCACTTTATCATTTTTTATTGCATCTATTTTATTTTTTTCTCTTTTTTTCTTTATTAGTCTGGCTAGTGGTCTATTTTGTTGGTCTTAAAAAAAAAAAAAAAACCAGCTCCTGGAGTCACTGATTTCTTTGAAGGTTTTCTCATGTCTCCATCTCCTTTAGTTCTGCTCCAATCTTAGTTATTTCTTGTCTTCTGCT